TCTGCCAGCTCCGGTAGATATTATAATTATAACCCCTTAATGGGGATGAATTTGAAGCCTGCAGGTAGGGAGTCAGAACTAGAACCTGGTGTTCTTTTCACAAAGTCATTTCTGTGGCGCGTTGGGGAGGTGTTCAGATTAGACATAGGTGGTAGTGGTGGTGATGGTGGTGGGCTCTATCAATAAAATACTTCCAGAATATTATCTCACATCCTAACCCTTTCCCAAGCCCCTACACCGTTGAGTCTTTACCTATGACAGGCCTCAGTAGAGATCTGTTGATCCATTGACTATAATCTCAGGGCTTGAGTGAGCTGTGCATCCTTTCCTTTTTTAGTGACAGTCCTTGGCGAATTTAGTTTTGGGTAGAGGAGTCTTCCTTGCTTGCTACTTAGTACCCATGTCGACAACCTACCCTGACAAAATTAATAGTAATATTAATAATCATGGCAGCTCATGAACCAAATCTGTCAGTACCACAAAAGACTCATGCGTTCTGCATTCCTTATGTTCTGTTTACAGCTTTAATAATTAAGCATTTCAGAGCTCTGTTAGAGAAATAACAACTGAGTTTATTAATGATAACAATTATGAATATGAAATTATACAAGGTACCATTTACATATGCAAATAAGGGAGTTGATTACACACATAGAGAGCGAGGGGATTCTGGCTTGTCAGTGAATTCTAAGCCCATAACATTTGCATTAGGAAAAACAATTTTTTTTTTCTGGCAATGACGTTCACCTACCAGATATCCATGGAAGAAGTGCTACATCTTGGGAATCTAGAGGATATAGGCTTAAATATGATTGCTTTACATCTGACTCACTGGGTGACTTTTAAGTTTAAAGCTAGTGCCTGACAAATATGAAGCCCTTTGCATTCCACAAATTTTTTCCTGTATGTGGTATCATTTAAGACTTAAAACCACCCGAGGGAAGAGAAGTCAGGTTTTACTGCTGAGGGACTGAAACAAATGGGCACCTTTGAAAATGTTGCCTCGGCTCACACACAGTCCCCCTGCAATGGAAACAGGCTCCGCCTTCTTCTATTGGGTCACAGAAGTGGGCCTCTGGCATGGTATCTGAAAGTGACATGTCCTCCATTCATGCTTTTGGGGTCTGGGAAGACAATTGGCACTAGATAGGCCAACCAGATCTTTGGCCAGAAATTAGACGTGGAAATGAGCATGAGAATTAAGAATCAGTCTCTCCTGGTGTTTGGACCTATACCATGAAAACTTGGGTTATCTTGTCTTCTACCAGACAGAATAGGAGAAAACAAAAAATTGACAGAAAAGAGGAGGAAGCAGATTCACAGAAAGAAGCCATAATGAAAGAAGCCATGAGTTCTCCTAGCCTGCAGGACATTTTTAAGCTCTCTTATCCACTCCTTCTGACACCCTGGTGTGTTTCTGCCTTTGGCTTCCATGAAACGCCCATGGGTCCTTGAAAAACAAACAAACAAACAAAAAAAACTACTTGTTTTGTTATTGTTGATTAAGGTAGCTTTAGAGTGTGTTTATTATTAATAAACAGAGTCTCTATCAAGACAAATAATTCGCCTAAGTCACAAAGCTAGTGAGTAGCACGGAGTGAGAGAGAA